AACTATAAAATTGGCGCTGTGACAAAAGTGATGGCGCGAAATAAATTTTGTTTTTGGCAAAAAAAAAAACAATAACATACAAATAATAAGCGGTAAAAATGCTTTTAGAAAGCGTTCAGTATTTCGAAGCACTTGTTGCCAAAAGTCCTAATGCTCTATAATTTATTTGCGAGAAGAATATAAGCGAAAAAGTTTATTTGGCGCGCAAGCCAAAATTTTTTGTTTCCCTGGTTTTTTTTAGAAGAGAAAAAATCAATCGATGAATCATTAGGCGCTATGATGCAATATTCATATGTGTCTGTGTATGTAGATACATACATTTGCGCGATATATACATATGGAAGTCCATAAATGTATTCAGCTAGGCAATATAAAATTTTTATAATGAAATTTTTCATTAATCGCAACTCCGAACGGCGATTGTGATTTTATGAGAAGCTTTTTCATGCGATCGCTATTAGGAAAAAATTATTATTTTTTACCTCCACACCACAGTGGCCGTCGATAATAAGAAAGGCTAAACGAGGCTCAGGGAGAAAACTTTTAGTAAACGTGAAAGGCTGCCAAGAGTTGAGGTAATTCATGCGCATTCACGTTAGAAATTCTATTCCTCTGATATATTTGCGAGACGGGTTTGTCAAGTGGGCGATGAATGGCCATGAACCGCTTGAACTTCTGCTGCGAACTACCGTTGCAGGGCAATGAACTGTCCTTTGTTTTCTAGTGAACTACTGGTTGGGCCAATTGACACGATTAAGCTCCACAAGTCGGCGGGACCAGATGACATTGTTATTTCACAACAGCTCCGGGATATCTTTCAGCAGAACGGCAGAACGAAAAAAGTAGAAACCGATTGGCTACAGACCTAAGTTCTTCCGACTATTAAATATTTATTCTGATAGCCAAGCAACTGAAACTGATCAGGAAATGGTTTGATTCTCTCTCGGTCACCATGAACTAAATACATACAAATGGGCTGATTTGAGAACTAGGGCCCACCGGCATTATCGAAAGTAACCCTCTAGTTCTGTTCTCCAGGGACGATATTAACAGGTTAGTGGTTTTCCAAAGGAACTTCAGGATTCACATTTATAGCAAGGCAATCTGAAGTATCTCTATTATGAATCACATACAGGCGAGCACACTACGGTTGTATACTGACGGCTGGTGGTCGATGGAAATTAGGAAGCTAATCAGTTGGCCTCGACTCCGATAGAACCTGAGCCCTTCCTTACAGTGGGTCCCAACACCATAAAGGAAACGCTCGGAAAGGAAAATACCAAACTTAGGGAACTGCACTGGGGTAACACTATGGGTCGACGTCAGGAAAATAGTTTATTAGTAGGGACAATCTGAAGAGATATTTCTACTCATGGATCTCCCCAAGGAGAAACTAAGAATCATTACAGGTAGTTGACTGGCCATTGCAGGCTAAGAGGTTACCTCTACAATTTAGGCAACTGGTCCAGTGTCCTAGATGAAAGTGGCGAATCGCAAAGTTGCAATATAATTCTGACCGATAGTAAATCGTAGATGGTCAAATGAGTTGCAATGAGTCGAAAAGGAGCTCATGCGCTGCGACTTAACACCGTTTCCTACTTGTATTCCCGTACCGTTTTGGAAAACGACGACGTGGTATCATCTCAGCACCTTCTTCTCAGGTAACCTGCTTTCGCTAGGCAAAGGTTTAAACCCGTAGGAATAACAAAACGAACTATTTCATTCAATTTCCAGATTCACCTTCATTCTTGGCGAGATTTTAATTTTAAAATGACGAATTGCCAATGACAGCTGCAAATGATACCCCAACAGCTAATCATCAACACGCGCGCAGTATACTTTCATACATATGTACACATTCAAGTCTAGCCGTTGAGGTCATCAGTAGAGCGAATAAGAAAGCGAAGCAACAACACAAAAAAAAAAACAACCAGCAATTTCTTGGTTCATATATTATAAATATGCATTACAGCAGCAACCTAATATTGAATTCACATTTCTGATGCGGCGATACGATCATCCCCAGACGATGCTGCCAGTCAACCGGCTCGCCTGCACCGCTAGCTACTTTGACGGGTCAGTTACCGAGTGCCCTTGACATTGCAACCAACTTGACTGTTTTTCATTGCATATAATTTCATGCTGGATTAACATTATATGTATTGACTTATGGGTAAATAAATACCCAAAAGTCAGTACAATCAGCCCTTTGAAATATACACTACAAAAAAAAAAAGTGTTACGAATGCTTTTTCCCCCCAAAGCCGCAAAGCAAACATTTCACATTTTTAATTGAAAGGGATTTATTCTACTGCATTCGTTCACTTAATCAGCCAGTCATTCATTGACAGCGCATATGTGGGTGTGTGTATGCAACCACATCAAGTGAATGCGGAAGTAAAAATCGGCAACGAACAGCATGCAGCATGTTGCACGCTGTGCTCTGCCAGTACATTGACGAGTGGAAAAACAATACAATAACTTAGTTTTTGTTGCTATAAGGCACAAGTACAAATATGAGGGCGTTTTCCAACTCTAAGCGCGATTTCATGCAATCACACACATATCTACATATGCTGCTTACCCTCCCTTATAACGGGTGATTTTTTTGAGGTTAGGATTTTCATGCATTAGTATTTGACAGATCACGTGGGATTTCAGACATGGTGTCAAAGAGAAAGATGCTCAGTATGCTTTGACATTTCATC